CTGACAACCTACTGGTTAGCACGAATTTTCAAGACTAAGACTGGCCAAATCGGTTTAGCCGTTTACGAGTTTTAGCGGATCATTTGATCGAGAGCTCTATTTTTATATATAAGATTCAAGCCAAATGGTACTTACACTTTTTTTTTTCAGTAACAGTGATGATGAATCTCAGCAATCCCGCTCGCAGAACACGGAGCAGGAATCAGTAGGCACACCACGCAGCGGGTGGCGGTGGTTACAGTACCAAAAAACGCAGAAAGAAAGAAGAAGGTCGTCAAATTTGCAAACATACTCTGCTGCAAAGAATGCTGGCTACTGCTGTGCTTCCTCGCCCTTGAAAAACGATTTCTTTGGAGCAGATGAAACAGGCCGCTTTGGGCAGTCTCGCAAAGACTTGCTTCAGAATTGGCAACTCGGGGAGAGAATATTCCACCTGACTTGACTGTTCTCAATCTGGTACTGGATCGATGAGTACGAATCAACGATCACCATTTACAGGTCAGTCATAGTAATATAAAATTGTTTAATTGAAAATGCGGACTATCTAAATATTAATATTGAGAGTTAAAACTTTTAGAGATTTTTTTTTTAATAATTTGGAAACATTTGAGCCCTTGGGAGCAATGAAATTCGAAAATGTCCATATTAAGGACCACCATAATATAAGTATATTTAAATATATATTTACTTGACATATTAAATTTGTGTAAATAATTCACTTAATCCATGATAGATAAATTAATTTATGAGTAGTTAAAAGTATTCAAAGTGGATTTATTACACATTATTGAAAATCGAACATGTCAACCCGGTCGGAATATTCTTTAAAAGCAAATTTTCAAAAATCAATAATTTTTATAATTGAGCCAGTTTTTTATAGGACTTTAATTATTTATTATGTTCATTAAGACCAAGTACTCTATTGTAATCCAAGTAAATCGTCTAATTTTAATTTTAACAAACGTCAAAAGAGCTACTCATTTTCTCAAACTTTGATGAATTTTTAAAATTAAACTACTCGTCGCAAGGCCGTAATATTTCGGACAGTTCTATAAGACCATGATATATATGGCGAAAAAAAATTCCATATAAACCTTTTAATTAATTTTAATTAAATTAGGCTTAATTTTTTTTTTCAACAGTTAATTACAAAAAACGGCTCGGTAGATTTCGCCTAAAATTAATCAGTATCATTTCCAACTAATATCTTCCGAACAATTTTTGATGTTTTACACTCGCTTTGGTAGTATAAGCTTAAATATGGACGAAAAGTTTAACACTTTTGTCAAAATTTCAAAGAAACGGTTCGGCCAATCAATCGGTGCACAAAACTGAGGAAAGATAATCCACATGAAAATACATCGATTGGCTTTTAAATATTTAAAATCGGTTCAGGCGTTTTTGAGCAAACATCGATAAAAGTTCTAATTTTGATAAACGCCAAAAAAAAACGATACTAATTTTTGCAAACTTTGGCAAATTTTTAAAACTAAACGAATTGTCGTAGGACCGCAATATTTTAGTATGATCTATATCTATAAGACTATGGTATCTACCGTCAAAAAAAAAATCATAAAAATCGTCGAAAAATTTTTTTTCAACACTTCATTACAAGAAAACGGCCCGGCCGATCTTTACCAAAAACTAATCAGCATGATTCCCAACTAAAATCTTTCGAACGGTTTTTGAATTTTCAAAATCGATTCAGAATTGCAGGCTAAAGCGTGGACAAAAATTTTCACTTTTGTGCGATTTACGATAAAACGGTTCGGCCGATTGTCGCACAAAACTGAAAAACGCTAGTCCTCATCGAAATACATCGAATGGCTTTTAAATTTCTGAAATCGGTGCAGACGTTTTTGAGAAAACGTCGATTTACGGCAAAAAATCTGTTCACACACACACATAATTTTTTCAAATTTGGTCTCATTCGATTCAGAACGGCTTGAAACGTCGAGAAAACATAAAATTAGCTAATCGGATTTTTTGATGAAAACAAGCTTCTCCTTCGGGAAGTTTTATTAAATACTTTATATAGATTAAAAATAGTTATTTAGGAAAACAAACACATTTTTCGGTAAATGTTTACATTCACTAGTAAATGTACACATTTTCCTGTAAAATGTACACATTTTCTGGTAGATATACACATTTTATTGTGAATCTATATATTTTCAAGTAAAATGTCTACATTTGCTTATAAAATGTACAATTTTTTTGGTAAATGTGCACATTTTCCTATAAAATGTATGAATTTTCTGGTCAATGTCCGCATTTTCCGGTAGATGTGCACATTTTCTGGTAAATATGCACACTTTTCTATAAAATGTACACATTTTCCTGTAAAATTTGATCATTTTCGTATATTATGTACACATTTTTTGGTAAATATGCACACTTTTCTATAAAACGTACACATTTTCCTGTAAAATGTGATCATTTTCGTATATTATGTACACATTTTTTGGTATATGTACACATTTTCTGTAAAATGTACACATTTTTTGGTAAATGTTTACATTCTCGGTAAAATGTACAGGTAGATCTATATATTTTTATGTAAAATGTCTACATTTGTCTGTAAAACGTAAATTTTTTTCAGTAAATATACACATTTTTCGGTAAATGTATACATTTTTCGGTAAATGTACACATTCTATGGTAAATCTATACATTTTCATGTAAAATATCTACATTTGTCAAATAATTTCCTTATCACATTATGTTTCAAAGTCTAAATAAACAATATCAATATATATATATATATATATATATATATATATATATATATATATATATATCCAGTTATACCAATCATTATCCTTTACCCAGCTAAGAGGAATCAGCAGGCAGTAAGCGCCGCCTCCGTCGCAGCAGCGTCGCTCAATGGTCGGCGCAGAAATTCTCAACAGCAACAACGTAGAAGCAGCAGGGGCAGCAGAACGTCGCAGCAGCACCAGGAACCAGCTGCAGCAGCAGCAGCAGCCAGCAAAGAGGAAAAAGATAGGGATGGCACTGAGAGGGAGAGAAACTTTGAATTGGTGCAGAGGCTGATTGAGATGGGATTCGAGAGGGAAAGGATCGATATTGCTATGAGTGCTTTGGGTAAATCATAATAGAAATAGTAAATGAAACATAATATTGTATCTCAACTTTAAAATATGGGCCGGCAGTGGCGATATCAGTAAGAGCGCGGGCTAGCATCAATTAGTTCCGGGTTCGATGGTTCGATTCCCGCTACCGCCGTAGCCCGACATCAGGCAACTTTGATGTCAAATTACCACTTGGGGTTCTAGATCATAATATAACTACAAGTGGAAATCGTCCTTCGTGAACATAGTTGCATCACTCAATCATATGTAAACTATTAGATGTAAGAGCTAATATATAATAAATCCATACATAGGAGAATGGTGAACCGATGGGTTGCCTCTCATAATAATACCTTAGATCATAAGCGTTGAACCAAACAGCTTATAGAACATATAAATAGTAAGAGTTCTGATTGCTGATGTGATAATAATAAAAAAAAGCTTTAAAACATCTTCTTTCAGAGAAAGAATCCAAATTAACAATTGATGACGTGCTGCAGTACATTTTGGATAAAATTCCAGCCAATGATGATAGGGTTGTAGCTATTGAGGATCGAGGTCTTGCAATTGAAAATAGAGGTCCAGCCGGCCAAGATAACTTCTTTCAGTTCCTCGATAGATTTACATCTAATGATAGTCATCAAGGTGCAGGAAAGCCAGCTGAAGACAATGATCATGACGACGGCCATGATGATAGCGATCAGGAAGACACCAGTGTCAGTTCTGTGCAGGTGAATAGATCAAAGACAGATATAATTCGGTATGCTGTTTATTAATATTGCTTTCTTGACTTTGTGTGAACCGTTATACTGTGCCATATTAATTTCATGGTTGACAATAATCTTATATATAAAAATGTTGCTCTCCATCTAATGATTCGGTAAAACTCGAAAATGGCTAAACCAATTTGGCCAGTCTTAGTCTTGAAAAATTCGTGCTAATCTGTAGGTTGTCGGTAAGGTGAAATATTATTTCAAAATCGCGTAGAAACTTTACATTTTTAATTTGAACATTTTTGTAGAAGCGTAATTTGTATAAAACAATAAACGTTGGCTAATACGTCAAATGTCAAACGTTTTTGACAGATGATGTATTATTGATGTTTCATTTTTTATAAATATTTAAAATTCGGCCATTTTTAGAACATGAAAATTCATTTGATCTTTGATTAACAAATAAAATACCTGCTAAAATGATTTTTTTCTGTATAACATTTTATTAAATATCGTCTAGTATTTATTTTAGAAATTTTGTTTTCTTTATGGCAATGTTTTAAAATTTTGACGATGATTTTAAATTATCATCATCATATGAAACCAAATTCAAAATCTGAGAATGATAAGAATATTTTATGTAAATTTTCATAATTTTATGAAACATTTTTATAGTTCAATGATTGCTACTAAATAATAATCAAATTTTCTATGAAATTCTGTTTGAAAATTTGCAAAATGACAATTTATTTTTCTGAACGAATAAGTTACTAAAATAATTTAATTTGTATTTGCAATTTAAATAATTCTTAAACATTTCTTTACAAGTATATAGTTTAAAATGAAGTTCTATGTTTTGCTTTTCTGTATTAAAAAATTGAATCCTGGTCAGATATAATTTATTATATAACTATATAGAAAATAATTATGCAAAATGTTTATTCTACATTTTTATTGAACTCAATGACTTTTAGACTGTTCAATTACGTTTAATAGGATGTTTTACGTGAATATTATTTAATTATGATTAAATTGTAGTAAGTAGTTTTGTTTGTAGTTTAATTTATATACAAGTGTTACTAGAGACTCAAAATATCAACTTTTTTGGAATGTTAATATGAAAATGAATTTTTTTGGCGTTGTAGCACTCTTTTTTTGCAAATCATATTTTTCTCGAACTCGGTGCTTTGAAAGATTTTATTTGTATAATTACATACTCATTGGTATTTATAAAACATTTTCTAGGGTATATTATTTTTTATTTATGTTATTTAAATTCAGAACCTAAATTTGATATCGATCAAAGGAACATTTTGTCGAATAACATTTTTTCAGTTATAATTTCCCAGAATTTATTGAAAAATAGCTAGTCATATATGAAGGTCCGGGGTTTAAAAAAATCGACTAGAATGTGTCAAAAACCAGTAAAGTTAAGCATTGTTTAACAACCATATTTGAAAGTAGAGGGAAAAAGATGTATAACCAGCTATAACCTTGATTCATATGACTTTGCTATCGGGGGATAAACGATAGTCTTTGAAAATCCATAATAAAAGTATTTTCTTCCGTTGGTAGTTTTTTAGCATTAGTTAAAAGTGTAATTATTTTGTAAAATACCTTTAAAATTAAAATAAGACATTAAACCTGTTTGCCACCTGGCCGTTCCATGTTACCCGTCTATAGGCTAAAAAGGTCTAGATAACAAATTTTTGAAAGGCATAAAAAAGCACATTACTACAATGACAAAGTAGCTGACAGTTTTACTGAACGTAGTCAGATAATTGTTCGTTTGAAATGTGTTATTTGTTGTGATATAATTGGTTTGACTTTTAGAATATAATTAATGTTTGCTCAAAGTCAAATTGGACCTTTGTGCCTCGCCCTGCTCTACATATATACTTTTCATTAAATTTACTTTAATTCATCGAATGTTACTTGAAACTTTTCAAAAAGCAGGTCAAAGAAGAAATACTTAATTCGTTTTCAATCTCTCCTCGCAGAAATTTGAAATTTTTGTATAAGCTCAGTAATATTATTTACAATTATACACGAAATCTAGAATCCAAAATGAATCTGAAAAACTTGAAACGTAATCAATAAGTCGAAAGGCCAAAAAAAAACTTGGATTGGATTATACCATGTTTTCTATAGAAAGTGTATAAAAATTCCAGTTTGATTGTATTGACAAAATATAGACAAACTAATGTAAACCTCATTGTATATAGCGTTCAAACAACACATCCTTATACACTTAAAGTATTAATATTTTTGATTCTCTAGAAATTGTTTAGAATATACCTTACTTAGCAAAACAACATTTGCAGGGTCAGCTAGTATATATATATATATATATATATATATATATATATTTCTCTTATCATAGGCATCTACTTCAATGAATTTGTCCAACGTCCAGCCGTCAACCTCAGGTTGCAGTCTGATTCCTGATGGTTTTTCGGAAGCCTCATCAAGTGTAATGGGAACCAATAGGTACTTACAAACAAAACCTTAAATTCAAATCGATCTTAAGTACTAAGTACATAATGTTTTTTATTAGAAAATATAGTAAGCGTTCTCATTTCCTCTCTGCCGATGAATATGCACTGTATGTACAAGAGTTGATTCATCGAGGAATGCTGGTCAGGAGTTGTCAAGCGTATGACGAAGTCAAACCAGGAGATTTGGGCCTGGTCTCTAAAGTGAGCGTGGAAGGCCTTCATGATCTGAGTGTTGAGGTAAATAGTTGAAAATTCAGTAAATTGGTAGAAGAATAAAAGTATAGCTCTCTATCTTTCAAATTTGTGGTACCTAACGTTAAGTTACGTTACAATAGAACTTTGGAAAAACCTACAGTTAAAGCCAAATTTGTGTCGCGCGCACTAGGATTTATACAAAAACCGACATTTCAGAAAACCGGTCTTCGAATTTTAATTTTACTAAAAAACCGGTTTTAACCGGTTTTCGAATTTTATATAGAAAATACATTTTTGCTCGAACATTCTGTAATTTATCCGCAAATTCAGTGTAATTTAGAGCAGTATTTGACTCAATTTATTTATTGTTCAATTTTATAAATAGTAAATAAAATTATTTTAATTTTAATTAGTAGAACCAAAAAATAATAATAGTTTATCTTGGTTAAATAACTTTGAAAATAATTATTCGTTATTCATGCATCATTTTCACATATAAGAATGAAAATATTTTTATGATAGTGAAAGGAAAGTTTTTGAATAAATAAAAATAATACATTTTTAAATAAAAAAATCATTAAATTAAAAAAAAATTAAAAAATATTAGATACATGTCAATAAATACTTGTTAATATCAATTTCAGTTTTAAAAACAATTAAGCTAAACTCGGGCATTGTCTGTTCCGAGCAATTTTAATTAATTAATTTAGTCATTCTAATTGTCTTTTTGTTTAATAAAATATGATTTAAAAAAACTGAGAACGTCTATCGAATTGCTACTTAGACGTGTCCTTTGTTTACGCACAAAATTTCTTGAAATAGAAAAGACTCTCATACTTGCGACCAAATTATACTTAATTGTTTTTAAAGCCTGATATAATGATTCCAAGTTTTTTGTTCTTTAATTTGTGGTTTCTAGGGTTTAAAACTCTCCCTTTTAAGTTTTAGTAGAGGAAGTTACTTCTTCAAGAAGTCACACTGATTTAAATTAATATATACACTGGTATAAAAATCTAAATTTATATACAAAACCTTGCTGGGAACCATTGCAGACTGATAAGATATCAAATGCTATTCAACCGATATGATTTCAAGAATCAAAACGATTTCATCTATCAGCATTTCCATTTGTACAGTGAAAACCGACTTTTTTCACTAAAAAACCGGTTTTTAAAAACCGACAAACTCTAACGCGCACCCGTGTTCAGAATATCAAAAATAATAAATGAATTTGCCTCTGAGATTGATATCTTTGGTCTGTCGGTGACAAATATAAAATATCAAGCCAGAAAAATTATACTTAAATGACTGTCTTGAATAGTTATTTATAGTTTATTAAATGTTTAATTTTATTAGTTTTTATTTAATGTTATATATTTGTGGTTTATATATATATATATATATATATATATATATATATATATATATATTAAGTGTTATGTATATATACAAAGCTATCTATGAACTCTTAATACTCTAATTTTTAACTTCCCGAAGGAGAAGTTTATGTTTTCATAAAAAAATCCGATTCGCTAATTTTATGTTTTCTCGACGTTTCAAGCCATTCTGAATCGAATGAGACCAAATTTGGAAAAAGTGTGTGTGTGCGTGTGTGTGAACAGATTTTTTGCCGTAAATCAACGTTTTCTCAAAAACGGCTGAACCGATTTTAAAAATTTAAATGCCATTCGATGTATCTCGATGACGACTAGGGTTTTTGAGTTTTGTGCGGCGATCGCAGAAAAGTGAAAAATTTTTCGTCCACGTTTTAGCCCGCAATTCTGGATCGATTTTGAAAATTCAAAAACCCTTCGATAGATATTGGTTGGAAATCGTGCTGATTAGTTTTTGTTAAAGATTGGCCGGGCCGTTTTTTTTTTAAATATCCTTTCTGGCTCATTCTACGATAAAAGTATAAATGTACGAATTAAACTAGATAAAATTTCCTACAATTCCTTAAGAAACCGTTTTTTGTAAAATTGATAGTTCGTGAGTACGGCCGCCTCAAAGTCTTTGCTGCTCTCGCCGTAGTATCAAATCTCTCCATATATGACAGCACTTTGAACTTGACCACATTCCTTCTAATAAATAAATATTTTCAATGTTAAAGTAAGCGAATAAGATCTAGAAAAAAAATAATTCAAATATTTTTCGTTCTAGAAAAAAACGGTTTTCTAAAGAATTGTAGGAAATTTTATCTAGTTTAATTCATACATAGATACTTTTATCGTAGAATCAGCCAGAAAGGAGATATTTTAAAAAAGCTGTTTTTTGCCGCCATTTTTCCAATATGGCGGCAACTTGCCGTTCAAATTTGAGGTGGAAAACTTGATTTTCGTAAAGAGCACTTCGAAATCTATAAGATTACCAATTTTTAGAATTCCCGGAGTACTGTACCGGCAACAGCCTTTTTTGCCCCAAATGACTGGATTATTGCTTATGAATGAATAAATGAATTAAATTAATAAATTATATTGTATTATTGCCTTGGGCGTTAAATAAATAAATAAATAAATAAATATCTTCTTCCCCAGGTTAAATGGTACAACCAGGGCTTCAGCAACTGGGTCCCTTTCATCTTCCTGGAGCTGGTGGCTGATGCGAAGTCGTCGGCTGCCAAAGCGGCGGCGGCCGAGTTCATCGATCGGTACGGCGTTCGCAGTGGCGGCGGTGCTCTGGGGCGCGAATTGAAGGTCGGAGACAGGGTGAGGGTCAGGATGAGTGTCGTCACGCCGAGATACAAGTGGGGATGCGTTGACCATTCCAGTGTCGGAGTCATCACACGTAAGGAGAATAATATATCTTCTATATATATAAAAATAAGTCGGGTTTTCCTTCCTGACGAGATAACTCTAGAACGCACAAACCGATTTCGACAATTTTGCATTCGTTGGAAAGGTCTCGAATAAGAAAATTAGTGGTGCATGGCATCGTGCCTTAATGCAAATTGCTGGAACTTCACGCACCGTAATTAAAAATTCGAGTAATCACATTAGTGAGAATTATCAGAATTATGCTTGGTTAAGTCAACGAGCAATTCTTGCCGCAAAGAATAATGATGCACACGCACTGAATTTTACCATTCAATCAAAAATTGCTGGCGATTTGGTGACATACCAATGATTCCGACTGGTCTTCCGTTTGACTTCAAACGATTGCAATTTCCAGTTCGCCTTGCCTTCGCAATGACAACTAACAAGTCGCAAGGCCAATCGCTTAACGTTTGCGGAATAAATTTCAAATAGATTATTCAGAAAATTGTTTTTCACATGGGCAGTTATACGTTGCCTGTTCACGAGTTGGAAAACCATCCGCTTTGTTTGTGTTAACGTCAGACCAAAAAACAAAAAATGTGGTTTACCAAAGAGCACTTCAATGAAACGGATAATTTGCGAATTCACTTTCATTTACTTAGAGAAGTTCAATTAAAAAACACTTCATTTTTGTAATCGAAATAAATTCATTACTGTTGTGTAATAAAATCAAATTTTTCCTTTTTAAATAAAAAACAAACAAAAAATTTCTTCATCTTTCTCACGAAACTATCTGGAGGCGAAACGGAGTTTGTCGGGTTTGCTAGTATATATATATATATATATATATATATATATATATATATATATAATATAGACAAAATCAAAAAAATGTCCCGAATTTTCTATATTTATTGCTTAAGAATGAAATATTGAATTCAAAGTTGTTTTTAACATTTATATCGGAGTGTATAAAAGACAGTTGTAAATTTTATCTAGTTTCACCCTATCCAACTGAAAAGGGGTGGTTCCATATGAAATTTTTGAGTTATTTGACAAAAACCAAATAAATGTCCCGTAAATCCGCAAAATATTGCTACAGAATGAAATATCGAATTCAAAGTCGTTTTATTCAAAACTTTTATATCGGGGTGTATAAAAGTGTTCCCTAGGAAATGTTGTCAATTTTATCTAGTTTTACCCTATCCAACTGAAAAGGGGTGGTTTCATATGAAATTTTTGAGTTATTTGACAAAAACCAAAAAAATGTCCCGAATTTTCTATATTTATTGCTTAAGAATGAATATGAAATATATATATATATATATATATATATATATATATATATATATATATATATATATATATATATATGCTAGCTGACCCGGCAAACGTTGTTTTGTCATAAAAATAATTCAAGTATAAAATGTTCAGTACGAAAATAACTATAACTGTTTTCAAATGTGGTGCATAAATGAAAGGAGCTGCTAACAAAAAAACATATGAATAGTTTACCCACTGCAAAGCACGCCACATATAAATGTTCCTTAATAGTCTTTGCAAGTGCAAACTCAATCTAAAACCTGATTATATTTAAATTCATGACTTGGCATTTTTGCCATTTACTTAAAGAAGTTCAACTAAAAGAAACTTCATTTTTGTAATCGAAATAAATTCATTACTGTTGTGCAATAAAATCAAATTTTTCCTTTTCAAATATAAAACAAACAAAAAATTTCTTCATCTTTCTCACGAAACCATCTGGTGGCGAAACGGAGTTCGTCGGGTTTGCTAGTATATATACATATTATATATATATATATATATATATATATATATATGTATATATATATATATATATACCCACAAACATTATTACGAGACCAAGGTGGGGCGGTGAAATCTAGCTTTGGTATCCTTTTATTTGACAATGTCATTTATAAGTAAGCGTGTGAATTAACAACCAAGTAAAATTTGTTCTCTTTTTTCAGAAATTACTCGAGAAACTGGTGATGTAACTGTGAATTTCCGGGAGCAATCAAACTGGGCTGGACAGCTTAGCGAAATGGAGCTGGTGCCGCCTTCTTCGGATACTAAAAGTCGACGTAGAACAATAGATCTACTTGCAGAAAGCGAGAGCAATACTGGAACAGCTGTAGCAGGTAGTGGATTTAAATCTTATAATTTAAAAATTCTTTTCAGAGACATATTTTTTTTAATGTTATTTTGTTTTTCCTTAGGTCAAATCTTGGAAGAATGGTCAGAATGTGTACGATCTCTGGCTGTATCATCTGGTGAGAGTTTGAAGAATAAATTGCTGGACGATACCACCGCCTACTGGCAAAGTAATTCTTCAACGTCTGGAAATGTAAGTTATTTTATAGCCACGATTCTAATATTATCTTTTTTTTTAATTATTTATTTTCATTTTTGTTTATCAGCATTTCATCCGTTTGGAAATTGTGGAGTACGTCGTAGTTCACAAATTATTCATGACTGTGAATCCACAAGATTTGAACTACATGCCCTACACAATAGTCGTTCGTGGAGGCGACAATTTTGTATCGATGGCTAAATTGAATTATTTAACAACCAGATCCAACGATTCCAGGGTAAGTGATTCATGTGATATATTTAATCTATAATATAAAAATGAATCGCAAAATGTGTTGGTAATCGCATAACTCAACAACGCCTGGACCAATTTGTTCAATTCTTTTTTAAAATGTTCGTTGAAATTCAAGGATGGTTCTTACGGCGAGAAAATATCGAATAATTGCCGGAAAACCCTAAAAATAGCCCTTTTCTTTTTCTCATACAAACGTTTTCTAACTAAAACGTAGAATTTGAGCGTTAAAATTCTTCTGTAAAGGTGTATGAAAGAATAATCCTCCTAAACGATTATTCGAATTTTGATAAATCTTTCTGAAGTTTGTTATGGGATTTTTTTATGATTTTTTGAATTATAGAAATATAGTTAGATTGTAGAAACAAATAGAAAAAATTATAAAAAAACGCTTATCATTCATTGACATTGAAAATATTTGAGGCATTGTTTGGCATTGAAAAGACTGTCATTTGCCATTACCTTTAAAATAGTATAATTCAGTTCCGATAAAGTCAGAATTAAAAGAGTTGTAATCCAATTAATGCGGTGGGTGGTGAAGGAGTGCAAATTGTTTTCACTTCTGAACTTGAGATTAAGATTAGCCTATTTCCAAAATATTAAGCCAATTGGAGCACAGTAAAACAATTCACAGGGCACACGCTTTTTCCTCTCCATTTACTGCAATGATTTTGTTGATCGTAGGTTGAATAGAGCACATGTGAACAGAATTTGTCAAATTAATTCAATTCAAATATAAACTTAATTAATGATGTATATTGAATTATTAGTGAGAAAAATGTAATTTAGATATTAAAATTACTAAAAGCCATTTAAAATATGGTACGAAATTATAAAAATTATAGGCAATATTATTAAAGCAAATATTTTGGGTACTGTATAAAAAAACGCTTATCATTCATTGACATTGAAAATATTTGAGGCATTGTTTGGCATTGAAAAGACTGTCATTTGCCATTACCTTTAAAATAGTATAATTCAGTTCCGATAAAGTCAGAATTAAAAGAGTTGTAATCCAATTAATGCGGGGGGTGGTGACGGAGTGCATATTGTTTTTACTCCTGAACTTGAGATCAAGATTAACCTATTTCCAAAATATCATGCACATTGGAGCACAGTAAAAAATTTACAGGGCACACGCTTTTTCCTCTCCATTTACTGCAATAATTTTGTTGATCGTAGGTTGAATAGAGCACATGAGAACAGGATTTGACAAATTAATTCACTTCAAATTTGAACTTAAGTAATAATGTATATTGAATTATTGGTGAGAAAAATGTAAATTAGATATTAAAATTACTAAAAGCCATTTAAAATATGGTACGAAATTATAAAAATTATAGGTAATATTATTAAAGCAAATATTTGGGGTAGATAATTCCCAGGTGATATTGTACCTTTACCGCGAATGCTATATATAAATTCTTTCTGAATTTGTTATACCTTCTAAAAGGCTTCAATTTTCAACACGTATGACCATAAATCACAAAGGCAGACGATGATTTTTTATGTGAAAAATTTGGAAAATCAATGTTTTAGTCGTGAATAAACAAAAAATCATTCATTTATACATCCACATCTACAGGTATGACTAAAAATATTGAATAACCCTTGGCATTAAAATAAATTGAGCTATTGGAAATAAATTTGTTCTTTAAATTGCAGTGTATAATTTTTAATATGCAATTTTATTGAACATATTTTAATATTTGTTAAAGGAATAATTAAAGTGTTGACTGTGGGAATTGAGAATCATCATTTTATTTGAAGCAGTTCTACATTTAACATCACTCATATATTGGTGTAAATAGTAATTTGAAAAACAATAATTATTATTTTTAACTGAACGGTAAATATAGTATAGGATATTATAAAAAGTTAGATGTGGATACAGGACAACGTCTGTCGGGTCATCTATTACTTTAATAATTGGAAGTATTTTTCCCAGAAATTTGTAGACTGTATATCTTGCAGAACTTGTTTAATAAATTAAACACTGTTTTAATTCAATTCAATTTATTTTCCGAATAATTGTAGCGGAGTACGGAAATCACAAAGATATCGATTTACTGATAAAAGGTACTATCGACCTGAACAGTTAGAATCCGAAAATCTATATATTGAATGCTAGTTACTGCTGCTACTGAAAATAATACTGCAGCAGCAGTGTTGACTAGTGTGAACAAAAATAATAGTGTTACCATATACAATTCTTTCCAAATAATAATATAATATTTATCCTTTTCCCAGATTGTTCTTCTATCGGACGTCCAGGCCTACTATCGCTGCATCGAGATCTACATCAAGCAGGTCAGGGGCGGAGGAATCGACTGTAGGGTTCAAAATATTAAATTCCTGGGAAAAAGATTAAAAAAGATTGCAGGATCCTTCCACGTCGGCCTCGGCTGCTGCTCTTGCTGGCATCGAAAATGGTGATCAGATGGACGCAGTGCCCATGAAACAACGAATTTCAATTTATGGCAACCGATTACAATGATAGTTTTTGTGAGGATTTGAATTTTGTGGCTGGAAGTAATGGTGCTGGAGGCATGAACGGGGATGGTGTCGATTATGGGAGCGATGGGAATCAGGTAAGACATTAATTTTTTTGACTTTCCGTAAGGTAGTTATAGTAATGGGCCGAAAATCGAAAATGAATATTTTTGCATTTCTCGACGCTTTGAAGGTTTCTGAATTTACTGGCATACCTCAGAAACTAAATGGATGTGTGTGCGTGGGTTTTGTATGTCCGCATTTTTTCGTCCACGTTTTTGGGCGCACGAATAAACCGATTTGAATGGTTTAAAAAACATTCGATCCCTATTGATAGGGAGATGTGCTGATTAGTTTTTGGCAAAGGCAGGTCCAGCCGTTTCGGAGATACGGAGCAAAGAGTGCAAAAAATACAAATCGAGTTTTTGAGAGAACGGAGTATCGGATTTGAGTGATCGAAAACATTCAATTTGTAATGATTGGGAGAAGAGGTGATTAGTTTTTGGCAAAGACAGGTCCCGCCATTTCGAAGATACAGAGCTAAATGTACAAAAAATGGCAGTTTTTGAGTGAACGAAGCGTTCGATTTGAATGATCTAAAAAACTTTCTGCTTGTATTGACAAAACAATTGCTTTCGAGGATAAAAAATTATAACATCTTTTTTTATTTTCCATGAAATATTTTTGTAATTTTGGATTAAAAATTCAAAAAATTACCCAGGCTAAGCACAGCCTAAGCGCCACCCTGGTACAAATGTTTACCCAAGTGTGTTTAGAGTGTTAATGCACTGGAGCACTAGAGCAAAAATGTGAAAATGCCGCCAAGCTAAGCGCAGTATAAGTGAAAATATCGCACAGAATTATTTGCAAATGCGTTTAGACTGTGACTATACGGGAGCATTTTTTCAATTTTGTGTAAATTAGACAACTATTTTTTTTTTGTAAATTGAATTCGAAATGAAATGACGATTGTTAATGTTCTGGAGATAAATTGATTTATTTATGATTTACATTTGATTTGCTCAGATATAACAAGATAGTAAAAATAATGAAAGTTACAGTATTTGTAATAATATATTTGAAAACGTTTAAAATTTCTCGAATATTTCATTAAGGTACGGGAAGTTCCAGCAATTTTCCTTAAGGCACGATGCCATACACCACTAGTTTTTATTATGTCTGTTGTAACTTTTAA